TGCTATACTACACAACGGCTCGTGCACTTGCAAGTATCACAAGTTGAGGATGCAGCTGAATAGATTTTGGTGCAGCTGATCCAACAACAACAGAAGTTCACGTCAATTATAAAATAAACTAGGGCTAGCAAATATCTTATAACGCAACAAACAAAGCTAGCGTGTGTTATGCAGCTAATTGAAGGATTAGGTGTTAAATGATTCATATTAAATTGTTTTCCTCGATGTTGTCATTTGGCTCATGGCTCGAGGGCTGAAGAGGGTAGTTCGAGGCCTAATGGGCCAAAGCCCAGCTTGGCCCGATGGTTAGGCTCATTCGATCCGACCCATTCTAAGGTTGGATAGGGTTTGGGTTTAGGATTTGAAACATCTGGCCCTACCCGACTAGGCCCACCCATTTGCCTTGTTTTGTTTTTGTCTTATATTGCCTTATTTCCATTCTAAATATTTAATTTATTTTTATAGTACTCCATTTACTTAAGTTTACAATATAAATAAGGGAGTAACCCAATTTGGATTCAATTAAAAAAACTAGAAAATCAAATTCCCAACAAATCAAAATATTAAAATCCAATTTTAGTATAAGATACATTTTATACCAATATTGAAACCTCAATAAATCAATGTATACATTATACTAGAATCTCATAAAATTGTGTCTGATTAATTAAGATATTAGGAATATATATATAAACTACCAATAATATCATTGAAAACTTTAGTATTTCAAAGTCCATTTTTCACACTTAGTCAAATTTTGAGAGAAAATAATTTTTCAAGTATGATATGTAGTCAAATTTCAATGCACAATAATATAGATTACTACATATCTACTTGAAAAATTGTTTTCTCTCAAAATTTGACTCATGTATTGCAATTTTTTATTTTTTACAACTTCATTTAAATCTTTTTTACAATCATGTATATACAAAATTTGTTGAAAAAAGAGGCTAATAACTTTATTTAAAGTACATTTAAATAGAAAATTATGACTAGATTGTTGTTCGGATTTTAAAAATTGAAACTTGAAAAATAAAATCATTATTTTATATATAAAGAAAACATTAAACTTTAATATATATTATTAGAGAAAGAAAAATAGACTTGAATTTAAGAAATAAATGTAATAGAATTATGTATTATTTTTCTCTAAAATAAATATAATTAAATACATGAGCTTGAAGAGGGCGGTGCTAAAGTCGGTCCGGTCCATTTGACACCTCTAATACAACATTCAAAAATGTTGTAATACCTGACTCAACATCTGATGAAACTTAACTAGTAAAACGATACTAATCAACTAGGTACAAAAACACATACCTTGATCAGTAATTGCAGTTTAAACCATGTTGAAACCTGTCATCAATGAACGAACCTCTATGTTCCTAAACTAAGTAATTGTGCTTGTACAAGATCGAAACAATTGCAAAGCAACATTAAGATAGAATTTCCCCACAAACTTGGTACAAAACGAAACGAATGGAATGGAATTACAATAATATTATAAAATATTAATTATTCATAATAAGTGGCCTACAAGCCTGGATGTTTGCTCTATCAGCTCTTATTTTCGTACATCGAACACACACCATTAAACTTAAAGCATGGAAGAACAGACTACTTTTTTCTTCTTATTGATCATGTCCTTCTTCAATTGGTTTATGCTAACTTTGGTTCCGCTTCTTCTTCTCCTAAACTATAGGATGCAGCACCAGCTTGAGCCTTCGTCATGTCTGGTGTTGGTGTTGCCAACTCTGCGGATCCCAACAGTCTTGGAGCGTTCACCTCCAATAATTTTATTGTCAGAAATGTCGAGACCACCTTGACCTGGTCCATTGTGAGATTGCGTTATCCCAATATTCTTACATAAATTGAATAAAACGATTAAATTGGGTGAGGGTGTTAGAATTTAATTAGGGTCGTTTTTTATTATTATTTAGGATGATATTGTGAATTTAGGACCTCTTTTTTGGGTCGTTTTTTATTATTATTTGGGATGATAGTGTGAATTTGGGACCACTTTTTTCCAAATTAAAGGAAGTATTGTAGAATAAAATTATTTTTGTAATAAGAAGTCTTGACTAGTGAGGACAAAGTATAATTAATTAAACCTTCTTTTCTTTATCGTTTAACAAATATTTATCCTTGCATCTTAGGCCCTAAACACGATTCCTTCTTCCTCCAATATCACTTGTATAACAAATATCGCTTGATGATGAAGTTTAGCCTTCAATTTGTTTTTTAAAAGGATCTTTCCTATTGAAATGGGCGAGAATATACTAAACTCACACACACTACACGGATGCTAAGACTTGAACCCAAAACCTTGTCTAAAGAAACAATTGCTACAAATAACTAAAATAATGGGCGCTTTGCAGCAATTAAATTGTTTTAACACTTAAAATTAACAACACATAGCGATGTAACCTACATCAAGGCTCAAAAGATACGAGACAGTTTGTGTGGTACTAGTGGAATGCAGTAACTATATCCAATATATGAAGCATGAGGTGGAATAGGCCTGTTCAAACCCTAAGTCTAAGGCAGGCGTTGTCAAGGTCCTACGTTCCTTTTTTTCTTCCCTTTATCATTATCACTTACATAACAAAAACAAAAAATAAATTTCTACTGTATATGAATGGTCTAGTCAAAAAGTACTCCGTTTGGAAAAAAAATGCAACTTTTTTGCTTTTTCACGCAACAAACAAAGCTAGGGCTAGGGCTAGCAATTATTTTATCACGCAACAAACAAAGCTAGTGTGTATTGTGCAGCTAATTCATTGATTAGGTGTAAAACGGATCATATCAAATATAGGTCTTCCTTGACATTTTCATTTTCTCCATGCAATGGCGAATTCATGAATTTTCATTTCGGGGGTCAACCTGTAAAATGTTAAAAAAAATTCTATACAAAATAGACCCATCAAAATTAAACTGTAATATTATAATTCATAGTTAATAATTAAAACCATACAAACTAACCAATACAATCTAATAAAAAATCTTACAAGCTAACAAAACTCTAATTTATTGAAACTAACCAAAATAAAATCCCAGCAACAACCATTCAAGAATATATATATATATATGTGTGTGTGTGTGTGTGTATGTGAATATTTATTAATTAACAAACACAAAATTAATCCAATTTACTAAGATACAATCTAATTAAATCATACAAACTAAAAAAATACAATCTAATAAATAAAAAAATAATTCTTTTAATAGAAAGAAAAACCCTAATTTATTTTCAAACTAACAAACACATAAATTAATCCAATTAATTCTTTTTAATCAAACAAAAGAGTAAATATAGTAGACTTTGCTTAAGAGGAAGAATATGCAATTGAATCTAATATAAGAAGAAAATTGAAGAACATAGCAGAAACCATGGCCCGAAATCCTTTACAATCGATCTTCTAAGATTTAGCAGGTACTCATCTTTCCTATCAAATTAAATGATAGTGACCCTCCAAGTGTTTCTTTCATCAATTTCTTGGTGCCGTTTTTTTTTTTTTTTTTTTTAAATCTTCAGTCCGTTCGCTATAGATACTACAAGAAAAGGCAAGAACATATTCATTAATGTATTTTAATAGCACAAGATATATACATTTCTTGTATAAAAAAAACTTCTAACAAACACAAACTAACAAATATAACTTCGGATTGGGTTGGGTAGAATTAGGGGTTGGGGATGGGGATTTAGGGTTTGAATGAGAGCATTGTGTTAAAAACCCATCCCCAAATATGTTTTATCGGGCAGCAGCTACAAAGGTTTTTTTTAATTATTATTTTAAAACACCTTAGCCAAAACGACATCGTTTTGGCCAGGTTTAAAAAATAATAATAATAAAATTTTTTTAAAAAAAACTCTTAAGTGGCACGACGTCATTTTGACGTCAAGATAAAAAAAAATTGAAGCGCTGAGCGTGCAAGTAGCAAGCTTCTCGCTGGCTATGGGCTGTGGCTGCTTCCTCTTTGGGGCATTTCATCAAACACCTTCTGGGCAATTTGTAGGGGTCAAGTTCTTGGCCACCTATGATGAATTTCTGGGTTTGCAAGGGTCAATTGACCCCCTTCCCTTATGTGGATCCACCATTGGGTCCATGGTTCGTGAGCTGAAGTGGGTAGCTCAAGGCCTAATAGGCCAAAGTTCAGCTTAACTCGATGGTTAGGCTCATTCGATCCAGCCCATTCTAAGGTTGGATAGAGCTTGAGCTTAGGATTTGAAACCTCCGACCTGGCCCGACTAGGCATGCCCATTTGCTGGGTTTTGTTTTTGCCTTATATTGCCTTATTTCCATTCTAAACATTTAATTTATTTTTATATTACTCCATTTACGGAAGTTTACAATGTAAATAAGGAAGTAACCCCATTTGGATTCAATTAAAAATACTAGAAAATCAAATTCCCAACAAACCAAAATATGAAAATCCAGTTTTAGTATAAGATGAAAGCTTTCTTCATGGAAGCCATGGATGAACCTGATCAAGCTTCTCAGACTAGAAGTATTGAGAGAGAGAGAGAGAGAGAGAGAGAGAAAGTAGAGTTCTCAAACTGATTTTCTCATTCACTAATTTACAGAGTTTGCAATTAAACTTATATATCTCTTCTAGCTAACTAACTAGTGAATTAAGTTAAAAACATATTAACAACAATAACAACCAGCCAGCTCATCCTAACTAATAGACATGTGACCATCCTAACAAACACGTGCATCATGAGTTACATTCATTCTGGTGGTTTGGGTTGTAGACTAACATCCCCCCTCAAGCTAATGCTTCGGGGACTAAGCATTAGGTTGTTTCAAAGATAAGAAAACTGAGAAGTATGCAGCCCTTTAGTGAATATATCAGCCAGTTGATTCCTACTAGGAATACGAGAAACCAGCATATCACCCCTAGTAACACGCTCACAAATAAAGTGGAAGTCGATCTCAATGTGCTTAGTGTGTGCATGAAACACAGGATTGCTAGCAAGGGCTAAAGCCAAAATATTGTCACACCAAAGAACAGGGGGGATGATCAAGAAAGATATGAAGATCTTGTAGAAGTTGGCGGAGCCAGGATAACTCAACGGCAGTGATAGCAAGAGCCCTGTATTCTGCTTCAGTCGAGGAACAAGATACGGTATTCTGCTTCTTAGCACACCAAGAGATAGGATTATTGCTGAGAAAGACAACATACCCTATCGTGGACCGACGATCATTGACATCACCTGCCCAGTCTGCATCGGAATAGGCTTGCAGATGAACATCACCAGAGGTGAAATGAATGCCATGAGTCAAATTACCAACCAAATAGCGCAGCATAAGTTTGACAGCAGCAAAATGAGTATCTATAGGAGTATGCATAAACTGGCAAAAAGTGTTCACGACAAAAGCAATATCAGGCTTGCTGAAGGTAAGATATTGAAGCCCGCCCACTAGACTTCTATTGAGCGTAGGATCCGAGAGCGGTGTGCCATCAAACTTGAGTAACTTTGTTGTAGGTAAACAGGGTGTAGAACAAGGCTTGCATTGATTCATACCAGCTTTAAGAAGAAGATCAGTGGCACATTTGGATTGATTAACATGAATGCCTGTGGAAGTATACTGAACTTGGAGTCCCAGAAAATAGGTTCATTGGCCGAGATCCTTCATATCAAATTCACGACTAAGAGCTGTAATGGTCTGCTGAATCAAGACACTATTATTCCCAGTCAAGATGATATCATCGACATATAAGAGGAGAACAAGAAGATCACTCCCAGACACGCGAACAAACAGAGATGTATTAGCCAAGGATGAATAAAACCAAAGGTAAGCAAATGAGTAGTGAAACTCTCATTCCAAGCTCGAGGAGCTTGTTTCAACCCAAAAAGTGACTTCAATAAGCAGCACACATGATGAGGATGAGTAGAATCTTCAAAACCTGGGGGCTGTTGCATATATACCTCCTCATGAAGTACACCATGAAGAAAAGCATTCTTCACGTCAAGTTGTTTAATGGACCAATGATATTGAGCAGCTAAAGCAAGGATCAATTGAACTATAGAGTGCTTGACAACAGGATTGAATGTTTCATCATAATCAAGACCAGCCTCTTGATGAAACCCATTGGCAACCGACCGAGCCTTGTGCCGAGAAATAGAACCATCAGCATTTTTCTTAAGTTTGAACACCCATTTACAATCAACAATGTTCATGGAGGGTTGATAAGGAACAAGAGTCCAAGTATGCTGCTTTTCAAGAGCCAGAAACTCATCAACCATAGCATGATTCCATTCTGAAACATTGGCAGCCTGAGAATAAGTTTGTGGTTCATGGAAAGGAGAAGGACCACTTGTGGACTTGGCAGCCAAGAAACCATGGCAAGACTTGATAATTCCAGACTTGAAGCGAGTCTGCATAGGATGTGAGTTAACATGTGGAGCAGGAAGGTCCACAATCAGATCTAGGGAAGGGGACTGATCCGAGGCATGCGCAGGAGAAAAAGATAATGTGAATGACTGAGTGGAAGACTCTGTTGGTACCTGATCCTGTAGTGGCAGTAGTTGATCCTGTACAAACTCAATAGAAGAATCAATAACATCAACAGAAGATACTACTTCCCTTGCATTAGATACTAGACTTGCTAATTGGTTAGTAAAAGAAGGAGCCTGTGGTAAACCATCAAGTCTAGGAGTGCTTGCAGAGTGTAGATAAGATCTAGGAGAAAGAGAAGAGCGTAGTGGTGTGAATTCTAGTGGTTTGGTACTTTCTGGTGAAAAGGAAGAACTCTTAAAAGGAAAACAAGTTTCATAAAAAACAACATGGCGAGAGATGTAAATGCGATCAGTTTTGGGTACCAGACAAAGATAACCTTTATAATCCAAAGTATACCCCAAAAAAGACACATTGTTCAGACCTAGGTTGCACTTTAGATTGAGTATAGAGTCATAATAAAGGGTAGCATGCACATCCAAACACCTTCAAAAGAGTAATATTGGGTTCTTTGTGGAACAGCTTAGAGAAAGGAGATTGCATACCTAAAGACTTGCATAGCATCCTATTAATGAGATAGTTAGCTGTGGATAGTGCATGAAAAAGATATTTCGAAGGAAGAGCAGAGTGAGAAGTGTAACAGCAATTTCAACTAAGTGGCGATGTTTCCTTTCAGCCCTTCCATTTTGCTCAGGGGTGTGAGGACAAGACTTATGGTGTAAAATCCCTTTGGAACCAAGATAGGTCTGAAAATCTTTACTAACATATTCATCCCCACCATCGGATTGGAAAGTCTTAATGGAAGTAGCAAACTGATTCTCAATGTAAGCAAGAAAATAACCAAAAGTAGGGAAACAATCAGATTTCATCAAGAAAAATTACATAGTACCTATGACCATGCAGAGAGGAATAGGGAGTAGGACCCCAGATATCCGAGTGTATCACTTCAAAAGGGATTTGAGACATAACATGTGAAGATGGAAATGGTTGTTTACACATCTTGCCTTGTAAACAAAAGCTACACATATGTGGCAAACGAGTAATATCATGAGAAGGATGACCTAATCTATAGTGCCACAGAGTATGGCACACTTTGTGACCATGAAAAGCAGCCATGCTAGGAAAAAGGGAAGGTGTCCTTGTTGGAAGTGGACAAAGACCATTATGGCACTGTCCTTGATACAAGATTCGCCCCTTCAGATCTTGGATTTGGAACCACAATGCATTATATAAAATCTGGCAGTGATTATCAAGACAAAACTGATGAACTGACAACAAATTAGTGGCAAGATTAGGAACATGCAAGACCTTAGGTAGATGAAAGACTTAATAACCACAGACAAGAGAGGAACTACCAACATTAGCAATCCTAAGTCCAGTACCATTACTTATAGTAACATTATCAGTGGAAGTGGAAGGAGTGATGTTGGAGAGCAGTTGAAGATCGGATGTCATATGGTTTGTAGCACCACTATCTATCAGCATATGTTGGGATCTGAGAATAAGCCACTAGCAGTTGCAGTAAGAGCTTTAAGTGCTGGAGATGGAGGTGTGCCTTGATACGAGAAATTGGTGCGATGTGGGCAATTAGGAGTTGTGTGACCAAACTGGAGACATATTTGACATGTTTCAGTAGCTAGAGAAGATGCAACAGTTGAAACTGGTGGAGCCATGGGTGAAGGTGACAAAACACCAGGGCTGGAGTTCGGAGAGACAAAATACTGAGTAGAAGAACCTGAGTTGCCCCCTAAATGCCATGGACCACTAGTAGAATGCCATGAACCATTATTGTTGAAACCAGCATTGTTATTCCACGAACCAAATCCTTGGTTCCATTGACCATAGGAATTTCCAGACTGACCACCATGATTCCACTTATTGGTAGAACCATTCCAGTTAGGACCATTATTACCACCACCATTATTATTCCAAGTATTGCCTCGGCCACCATTATTCCATGATTTGCCCCGAGACCAAGAGCCACGACCAAGATAATTCGTGGGTCGATTCTAGTTAGGTTGCCAATTTGGATTAGCACCTCCACGATCAACCAAACCAAAGTGAAAATTATCACCATGGGCAACAGGTGGTGATGAGGATACGGTGCCTTTCTGAGCAACCATAACAGTCATGATTGGAGAATTAAAGAACTTAACACCATCATCCAAATCACATTCTTCTTTGAGCAATAAATCACACAACTCTGGAAGAGTAACTCGAACTGGTCAAGCACGAATATGAGATTTGAAGGGATTGTATTCCACAGGTAAGCCTTTAAGAATAAGCAAAATCATATCTTGATTGGAAATAGAATGACCAGCAATTGACAATTGCTATCGAGCTGCACGAACCTTCTTCCAATAGACCTCCATAGAATCAGTTCCTTTCTGCATTCCATGCAAATTATTCTTAAGATGCATGATCTTAAGCTCAGAGATCGAAGAATAACGATCTCACAGTGTATTCCAGGCCTCTGTAGCAGACTTACAATTCATCATCTCAGAGAAAGCATCATCTGAGAGACTTGGAGCAATTACGTTAAAAATAGCAGTATCCATTGCTTCCCAGTCTAGATAATCATCTCCATCAGGATCAGTAGGCACCGTAATTGTGCCATCAAGAAAATCAGAAAGTCGATAAACTTTGAGAAATTTCGCAACCTGATAGCTCCATTGCATGTAATTCGTATTATCCAATTTCAAAGTAATATAATTAGAGGCAATATGAAGCAAATCAATCGGTGTAACTAGGGCTGGCAATGGGTCGTGTCGTGTCGGGTTCGTGTCGTGTCGGGATAATAAACGTGTCAAGAATGCTCAACCCGAACCCAACCCATTTAATAAACGTGTCGTGTCAGAAACCAATAGAATAAACGAAAAGTGGAAAAGGAATTCCGTCAAATGCAAACTAAGCACAGGAAAAAAAGCCAACCTTTGAATTTGATCTGGGTATCAAGACCAACCCTCTTGTTATTTGTTGAGAGGTAAACGAGAGAGAGTCGAGAGGTAGACGGAGATGAGACCAAAGCAGACGGAGTAAAGAGATGAGGCTTGGATTGGACTTAGAGAGGAGAAAACTGGTTTGGTGAGCACTGAGCAAACTAAGGCTAGGCGGCTGTGTGAAAAGGTCGTTTGTATTGTATCAGAGCGTATGAGTGAGAGGCTAGGGTTATGAACTTATGAATATATATACAACATTTTTTTTTGGAGGGTATAAGTATTCTGCTAGGGTTTTAGTCTTTTAGAGTTTGCAAATAAAACGGGTTAATGGGTTCGATGCGGGTTGACACGACCCGTGACACGACCCGTTTAATAAACGGGTTAGATAAGTATTATAGCGGGTTAGCGGGTTGACCCGAAACCCACCCGTTTATTAAACGGGCCAGAACGGGTTGACCCGAAATTGACCTGTTTTTTTAACGTGCGGGTTGAACCCGCTAATTTCTCGTGCGGGTTTCGAGTCGTGTATCGGGTCGTGTTCGAAATTGCCACCCCTAGGTGTAACAGAGCTTTTCCCCATTTTCAACAGAAGCTAGGGTTTAGGCACACAATCAACCAGTGCAGAAATTCTGAAATTCAAACTGTGTTCAGAGAGAAATGAAGCAAGAGAGTGTATCGCCAGACCAATTCGAACAGACAAGAATTGAAAATGGAGATGAAGCTCTGATACCATGAAAGCTTTCTTCATGGAAGCCATGGATGAACCTGATCAAGCTTCTCAGACTAGAAGTATTGAGAGAGAGAGAGAGTAAGCGAAACAGAACAAGAGAGAAAGTAAAGTTCTCAAACTGATTTTCTCATTCACTAATTTACAGAGTTTGCAATTAAACTTATATATCTCTTCTAGCTAACTAACTAGTGAATTAAGTTAAAAGCAGATTAACAACAACAAGAACCAGCCGGCTCATTAGCCAGCTCATCCTAACTAACAGGCACGTGACCATCCTAACAGACACGTGCATCATGAGTTACATTCATTTGGGTGGTTTGGGTTGTAGACTAACATAAGATACCTATTATACCAATATTGATACCTCAATAAATCAATGTATACTTTATATTAAAATCTCATAAAATCATATTTCATTATTTAAGATATAAGTAATATATATAAACCAGCAATAATATCATTGAAAACATTAGTATTTCAAAAGTTCATTTTTCACACTTGGTCAAATTTTGAGAGAAAACAGTTTTCCAAGTATGATATATAGTCAAATTTTGATGCACAATAATATAGCTACATATCTACTTGAAAAAATGTTCTCTCAAACTTTGACTCATGTATTGCATTTTTGCTCTATCAGCTCTTAATTTCGTACATGGAATACAAACCATTAAACCTAAAAACACGGAAGAACAGACTTTTTTTCTTTTTCTTTTTATTTATCATGTCCTTCTTCAATTGGTTTATGCTAACTTCGGTTCCGCCCCTTCTTCTCCTGAACTATAGGATGCAGCAACAGCTGGAGCCTTCGTCAGGTTTGGTGTTGCCAACTCTGCGGATCCCAACAGTCGTGGAGCGTTCACCTCCAATAATTGTATTGTCAGAAATGTCGAGACCACCTTGACCTGGCCCATTGTAAGATTGCGTCAACCCAACATTCTTACTGCCCTGGCCTCCTCTAATTTCATTGTTACGAACCTGGTTCCTACTGCTGCCGCCTCCTCCCTGATCCATATTCACTTTAGGGAGCTTTAGAGTTTGGGTGCTAGATGAACTATCGGTGTTTGCCTGCCCTCTCCGTTATATAACTGGATAAAAGTTCAAGCGCCCGCTAGCAAAGTTTGATTCTAAAGTAAAAGTGAGCATGGTGACGAAGAAAAACAAGTACCAGTGGGCTTGGAGTCTGACACACGGTATATTTAATATTATGAAAAATTTGACTTCTCCTCAAGTTCATTTTCTTTTGCATGGAATCCATCATTACTTTGTTTTTTCTTGTCGAAAAGCCGGTGATTAAGAGCAATGAGAAAAAAAATGAAATCCAACCTTTTGACCAAAATGGAAGTGACGATCCTAGTGGTGCCTGCTTAGGTCACCAACTTAGGTCATTTGGTCTATTGATGATGAAGGGATTATTTGGGGTGATGGTGTGAATTTGGGACCTCCTTAATAAAATTATTTTTGTAATAAGAAGTCTTGACTAGTTAGAACAAAGTATTTCAATTATAATTAATTAATTAAACCTTCCTTTCTTTAGTGGTAATTCACTTTTCAGGACGGGAAGTGTTAAATTTGAATTCTCTTGTTCTCTATTGCTTAAAATTCACTCATCTCTACAATAGGTTTGTAGTTCAATTGCTTAACAAATATCTATCCTTGCATCTTAGGTCCTACACTCGATTCTTTCTTTCTTTAATGTCACTTGTATAACAAATATCTCTTGATGATGAAGTTTAATATTAGCCTTCAAATATTTTTTCTTTTAGGATCTTTCTTATTTACAGCAAACCACTAAACTAGTGGACCATTTGCAGCAATCAAATTGTTTCAACAATTGAGATTAACAACACGGTAGCAATGTAACCTACATCAAGACTCGGAAGATATGAGACAGTTTGTTTGGTACTAGTGGAATGCAGTAACTATATCCAATATATGGAGCATGAGGTGGAATAGGCTGGGATAGATGGAAGTGTCCACCAGAATTAGGTGGTGGAGAAGGAGGGGCATACATAGTGAAGCGGCGACCCATTTGTGATGAAGTGATCGCTGAAAAAATTGGTCGGGAACGACATTTGTGTTTTTATAGGAAATAATCAGCATGCATCTCTCATTTTTCTTGTTTTTTTTTTTTTTTTGGGTATCTTTTAATCTCATTTTCAAAGGGAAGCTAGCTCTTGACGAAAGTTGCATCTGTCAAATGAATGAAACTAAAAATTAAATTCATAATAAGAGGAATTATCAGTGTCGGTTTCTTCGAAGGAGTCAACTTGTTTTTCTTCGCCGTGGCCTTTTTTTATAGACGTGGGTGTTGCCAAACCCGAAAATTTCCACCTTTTCTGAAGTCATTGCCGCCTCTGCCACCGGATGCCATAATTTCATTTCCCTGAATGTGCAATAAACGTTTTTACCATGCATATAAAACATATCCTAGATGATATTGAGATGACTTAAATCGGTCATGCAAGAACCCCACATATCATCAAGCTAGATGCAGATGGGACCAAACCAATGGTGGATAATGAACTTGTTAGATGCAGATGGAAAATGGACAATTGCATGTGGTATTACAAGTCCGTTGACTGACTTTCTGACATCAATGGTGCATTTGAACTTTCCCAATGAAGACTTGAAAAGTGAACTCCAAGTTTTTCTTCCCATTGAAAGTCTTGCATCAATGAGTACCCCAACCCCACCACGTTGATTTTTTGTTTCTTTCTTTTCCAAAATCATTAACATTTAGCATCTATGAGGTGAGATTTCTTTTTTTCTTTGTTTTCCAAAGAGAA